ACCAACATGCTGAAACCTGGTCTGTACTAAAAATACAAAAAAATTAGCTGGGCATGGTGGCACATGCCTATAGTCCCTGCTACTTGGGAGGCTGAGGCAGGAGAATTGCTTGAACCCAGGAGGTGGAGGTTGCAGTGAGCAGAGATCGTGACACTGCACTCCAGCCTGAGCGAGAGAGCGAGACTCTGTCTCAAAAACAAAAAATGAAAATTAGCCGCGTGTGGTGGCGCATGCCTGTAATCTCAGCTGCTTGGGAGGCTGAGGCAGGATAATTGCTTTAACCAGAGAGGCTGAGGTTGCAGTGAGCTGAGATTGAGCCATTGCACTCCAGCCTGGGCAATAAGAGTGAAACTCCATCTCAAAAGAAAAAAATTATATTTTACAAGGAACACAGCCACAGCTGCAGGTTGGCAGCTCCCTAATGCCACTTACTTTGAGAAATACTTCAGTCTCCTGGGTGACATTTATCAGTCACTTTTTTTTTTTTGAGATGGAGTCTCACTCTGTTGCCCAGTCTGGAGTGCAGTGGCCAGATCTCAGCTCACTGCAACACCTGCCTCCCGGGTTCAAGCTATTCTTCTGCCTTAGCCTCCCAAGTAGCTGAGACTACAGGCACGTGCCACCACACCTGGCTAATTTTTTTGTATTTTTAGTAGAGACAGGGTTTCACTGTATCGGCCAGGCTAATCTTGAACTCCTGACCTCAAGTGATCCGCCCATATTGGTCTCCCAAAGTGCTGGGATTACAGGCATGAGTCGCTGCGCCTGGCCGTTACCAATTACTTCTGTGGAGAAGAGTGAATAGAGCAGCTCTGGGGCTACTAGAGCCTCTTTATGTTGGGCACTTGAATGCTTCCCTCAGTTCTGTAACTATTAATGATAAAGGTGGTTCACTATGCCTAGATCCTTTTTACAAACCATATGATTTATGTTGAATACTTGCTTTCCTTTTGGGAATCTGATTGCTACACTAATGTAGGGTACTGAGTCTCTAATGGACTTTCCTGGTCGCAAACTTGCATACATGTGTTGCATTTTTTGCTGCTGTAGCAAGGAGCAAGCTTGATGTATACCCTCATAGGAGGGAGAGGACATAAGGGAACCTGTGCGTGGGTTTCTACAGGCAGCCCTGACATGATTTTAGGATGCTTGAGGTCTTTTCCCATTGCTGATATCCACTCACTGTAAAAAACTTAGCCATCAGTACAACTGTATATATGTGAGTAGTCTGGGGGACCCCTGAAACAACTTATTTCATAGAGGAGCCTTCTGTAAGTTGCTGACCCCATTAAATGTATGTGAATTCCTCTTGTCCTCATCTAAGATCTTGAGACTTGATTATGCTAGGGATCGTTGTTAATATGTAGTTCTATAATATGTGTCTTACTACATTTCTCTATTTTAAAGCAATTAACGAGAAGCCTTTGGCATTCCCAAGGAAAAGTTTCTTGTTCTTAGGAGTAAAGGAATTTGAGAATACGCACCTGAGATAATAAAGATGGAGACTTATGGGGGGAGATTAGTGTTTAAAATTCAATCTCTCCCCTTCTCTCTCCCCCCTTGCCCTTCTTCTCTTTGCTTCTATTTTTTTTTCTCTTTCTTTCTGAGAAGTCAGAGGACTGCTTGGAGCTTGATCTAGTTGGGGTTGATCTGGGGAAGGCTAAGTCTGCAGAACCAGACTTCACATGTGAGCTCAGACATTGTTAACTCAGGCAGCCCTGACATATTTTTAGTGACACTTGAAGTACATTAATGGCACAACCTTCCCTACCTTTTTCTCTCTACATGCCACAGTTACTTCCTCTAGTCACTCACTCTAATCCCAGTCTGTGAAACCAAGCCTATTACTGTGGACTTTAAAAAAAATTACCT